GGGTTGCAAGAGGCTGCAGCGGGAATGCTGAGCCAGGCCAAGCTGCGCCGCTCAAGAAAAGCCCAAGATGACCAACGGCAGTCCAGGGTACAGAAACAGTCAGCACCGGAGCCCCCAAAGACAAAACCGATGGCCTGCAGAAGCGTGAACGAGCAGGACCTTTGCCTAACAAACAGGACGTAACTGCAGCCGTCTCCAAACACCCTGATGATCTTGAAGGTCTCTTCCAACTGAAACTGTTCTATGATTCTATCTACATACCTGTGCCGAAGGGAAGAGCTGGCACACAGCACCCGCCGGGGCCCCGCCCCAGGCAGAGGTCTCCATGAGGGGAGCCCTGCTTGGCCTTGCAGGGACCCATCCCAGAGCCCAGTGACGCTCTGGCTCCTACCACCAGGAAAGAAGCACTGACTGGGAATGCAAAGGGAGCTGATCCCGCCCAGCAGGGGAGAGTCCGGCTGCCTCCCTCTGACCCTATGAGTGTCCCCAGAGAAGCACACAGGACCAGGTGAGCTAAACATTTATTGACACTTTGGCAGGACCCAGGGCCAGCAAGTTTGTTACAGGACTGAAGAGGGCAGGGAGGGCAGATCCTCCTGTGGAGGCTGCGGCGTCCGTGGCAGAAGGGACACCCAGCCCATGGCTTGGGCAGCAGCACCAGGGGAGGGATGCCCGCTCTGGGGAAGCACAGGCACAGGAGCTGGGGCACAGGACTGCCCGCAGGGCCATCCCTTCAGGGCCCTTCCTCACCACCCAGCTTTACCCAGCACCGGGACCCGAACTCACAGGAAAGCCAAAACGTGGCCCTGGACAGCGGCACCAGCGTGGAAGCCCCCTCCCCTGCTCCTCACCAGTGCAGCCCCAGCTTCACCCAGCACTGACCCCTCTCAGGGGCTGGGACCAAGGCCTCTGCTCAGTCTCGGTCTGCCCAGCACTGAGTGTCAGACCTGTCCCCACTTGGCCACGGCCCCTCCCAGCTAGACCTTGGTCCTGCAGTGTCAGCACCTGCCTCCATGACGTTCTTGACCCCCTGCTCCCTAACCAGAGACAGAGCGCGATGGTCAGGTCAGCCTGGCACAACGGCTCGGCACCACGGTGCTGCTGCTCGCACGTGGGTGCCCAGAGCTGCCCTGAGCCCTGGGGCGGCCTGTGGAGGTGCCCAGCCCCTCACTCACCTCAGCAGGTCCTCCAGTTCTCGCTTCACTGCCCCCACCACCGGCGGCCCGTGGTACACAAGTGCCGTGTACATCTGCACGAGTGAGGCTCCAGCGCGGATCTTCTCCAGGGCATCGTGCCCGCTGCTCACCCCACCCACTCCGATGATGGGCACCCGGCCTGCGGGCAGGCGCGGGGGCAGGGTGGGGCAGGCGACGCCAGCACATCGCCCCCAGC